GCTGGCGTCGAGGACTGGGGTCTCCCCAGACGGAGCTGCAGGCTGGGGCCTGGGCACGGAGGCCGGAGCAGGATGCTGGCGTCGAGGACTGAGGTCTCCCCAGGAGGAAGGCCCCCACCTCACCTCAGGTCTTCGCGGTGACAGTGCGGTTGCGCAGCTCCCAGGTAGGGCAGATGCTCCCTCGTAGGGAACTGCATGGCCAGGGGAACGGGCTCCCACAGGCTGGGCCACGCCCCACCTCCGTGCCATGAAGCCAGGCGACAGGCCCCGTCCTCACAGCTGTCTGTTAGCCTCTTGGTGTAAAGAGGTCGGGGAGAGCCTGGCACATCTGAGGAAAGACTGGGGTGAAGGACAGGACCACGGAGGTTGCTCGGCAGAGAAGGAGGAAACAGAGCAGGTGCCACAGAAACACCTCGCAGAACAAAACTAGAGACCAAGGAAAAATCCTTTCAGTTCAAGGCGATACTGAAAAACTTGCAGAAGGGTTGGAAAATAAAGTTAGGGGATTCTCCCAGCAAGTATGAAAAAGCAGAGAAATAGAGAATGGAAAGCGAAGGCCCTGAAGTTCAGAGATCATTCCAGAAGGTTCAGAATGAACACGAGATGGCAGGAAGAAAATTATTAAGGATGAGCGACAGAAGACGTCCCAGAACTGAAGGGCAAGTCTTCAGCCAAAAGGGCCTGCCGGTGCCAGGAGGCCTCGCTGCATGAGAGCAATGCTCACCAGGGCTCGTGGGCATAGACTTAGCTCCTGGGGACAGAGCAGGCCACATACAGAGGAGCGGCCAGAAGAGCAGCCTCTGGCTTCCCCACAGCGACCTTGGAAGCTGGAGGCACCTAGAGCAGAGCCTCAGATTCTCAAGGAAAAGGGTTTCAACCTTTAGTATGCCTGGTGGACCTGTGGACCAGGTGTGGGGAGAATCAGGACGTGCAAGGTCCCGAGACTTGACTTCTCATGAGTCCTGTCTCGGGAAGCCCAGGAGGTAGTTCTCCACTGAAATAAGCAAGAAGGCCATCCCGGGCTTCCAGAACGTGGGCTTTGACCCAGGAGATGTGGAGTGGAGTGCTCAGGAGGTGGGAACTGCCGACTGCCAGGTGTGATCCCAAGAGGTGGAGCTCGGGGACCCTGGGGGTTGGTCTGAGGGGGTGTCGGCCACAAGCAGGGCTGGGCCTTTGAGGGGTGCAAGGTCCCGCACCCCTCACTGTGCAGGGGCTGGGCGGGCTGGGGCGGAGGCTGGGCAGCGTGTGCTCACGGAAGCATGAGGTATGAAGACAGGCTGCCGTGTGAGCCGTGTGTGCTGGAGGTCCCTTTGGCAGCTGTGAGGAGACGGGTTGGGGGAAGCTACTGCAGTCGGGCTGGATCCTCTGCCAGGGCCAAGTGCACGAGGTGGTCTGGATGAGGCCTCCAGGCTGGCGGTGATTGGCACGGGATGGAAGGGACGTGTCTGCAGACACAGGCTCAGACCTCAGGGGTCGGGACCCTGATGTCCCTGGAGACAGGACTCACTGGAGCAGGCAGTGGCCTGAGGCCGGGCTGTGCGGTGGTGGGTGTGTGGATTTGGGAAGGTGGGCGAGCAGGGGCAGAGGAGGGTGAGGACGGGGCAGGCAGAGCCGCATGCGGTCAGGAAAAGCAGGGGCTTGGAGCCCAGGGTGGGAGCCCTGCACAAGAGAGTAAACAGCAGAGACCAAGGGGCTGTTGGGTGTGGCCGCTCAGCCTAGGTCAGAAGTCACGGGCTAGAGCTGGAACCATGAGGGTGTCGGGACAGAGGCTGGGGGATGCTGGGGTAAGGAAAGCAAAGCTGGGGTCCTGCCATCTTCCAACTGGTTGGCCTCCTGGGTTGGGCCCTGGCCCTCGTCCTGGGTGTCCCCCTCTTCAGTCTCCCCTGTCAGGAGTGCCAGCTTCCCTGCTGCCTGGTCCCAGGCCTGGGCCTGGAAGGCATGGCCCCCGCCCCGTACTCTGTGCTGGTGGTTTCCTGTAGCTTTTTTCTTTTTTGTAATTTTCTGTATTTGTTCGAACACCTGGCCACCGTAATCAGAATAAACTGTGTTTTTGCCCTTGTTGTCTTCTTAGAATAGGGTTTTTGGGAGCAGGAAAGTAGGCGCCCTGGCAAGGGCCCTGGGGCAGCCCTCCCACCCACCCTGTCAGGTCTGGGGCCCACTGGGGCCCAGGCTCCTGCTAGCAGGGCAGCCATGGTCTCCCCTGCAGCCTTTCATCCTGCAAGCTGGGCACAGCAGAACCCCACCCCCCTGAGGCCCTTCCCACCCTTCCTGCCACGTGGTCCCACTCACTTTGAGAGCTGCAGGACTGGCCCAGGGCTTGGGGACTCTAACGAGCGGTTTCTTCTGGTTGTAGAACTTCTGGAGGTTCCTATTCCGGAAGAACCTGCCACCGACCTCCCTCTGCCAGATGGACTTTGCCGTCCTGGGCCTTGGGGATTCCTCGTACGCCAAGTGAGTCAGCAGGAGTAGCTTTCCCAGGTCACTGCAGGCACCTGTCATGGCTGTGCCTCGTCCCCACAGACGCCCCCTGCGGGAGCACGCACCCATGCCGGGCCCTCCCATCTGGTGTAAGAGGGCACTGGGGGGCGGGACAGGCCGCCTTCGTCCATGAGGGGGACATTGGGGCGGGAGAGGCCACCTTCCTCCATGAGGAGTCACTGTGGGGCGAGAGAGGCCGCCTTTGTCCATAAGGGGGGCACTGTGGGGCAGGAGAGGCCGCCTTCGTCCATGAGGAGTCACTGTGGGGCGAGAGAGGCCACCTTCCTCCATGAGGGGGGCACTGTGGGGCAGGAGAGGCCACCTTCGTCCATAACGGGGGCACTGTGGGGCAGGAGAGGCCGTCTTCCTCCATGAGGGGGGCACTGTGGGGCAGGAGAGGCCGTCTTCCTCCATGAGGGGGACATTGGGGCGGGAGAGGCCGCCTTCCTCCATGAGGAGGGCACTGTGGGGCAGGAGAGGC